TGAACCTTAAGCCTTATAGAGCCTCAACCCTATGCCCTGTACTCGTACATACCAAAAAATATGTGTATGTATATATATATATATATATATCCCGAATCCTAAACCTTATACCCCAACCTCGAAGCCTCATCTGGACCCTAAACAAACTGCCTTTGTGAGGTCATTTGTAGGAGTCTCCGAAAATAGGGGACCCTAAAATAGTACCCTAGATAGTAGGTTCCTTAGTACCCGGAATATATTCGGAAACTCATATATAAGTAGTTCGTGACAGGAGAACATAATTATGAAAGTAAAAAGCTAGGGTACTTAGGGTTTAGGGTTCAAGGAAGCGGGTTCGGGTACCCCTTTCAAACCCTAAACCCCTAACCCCTAAACCTATATTAAACCCCCAAAACCCTAAAACCCCTAAGCCCTAAACCTTAAAACCCTAATCCCTAAACCTAAACCCCCAAACCCTAAAACCCCTAGTCACGGATGCCCCGACCCCCCCCCCCCCCAAACCCCCCCCCCCAAACAAACAACCCTGAAATAAGGGGCCCACTGGGAAAATAACCCAGAAATAAGCCCTATTAGGGCCTAATAGGGCTTATTAGGGCTTATTAGGGCTTATTGGTTGTAAACCGCTTTGCCGGGAAATAACCCGGGAATAACCCTGAAATAGCGGAGGCCTTTCTTATTTCAGGGTTATTTTCGAGGGCAAGGGTCCTTCTTATTTCGGGCTTATTTCCAGGTTATTTTCCTGGGGCTGGAGAGGACAGGGGTCGCCTTATTTTCCGGTTATTTTCGAGCTATGTTCGTGGCATATTGCAGTGGTACTGTTCAGAGCTGCAGGCAAGAAAGAAGGTTCGTCGCATCGTACCATCCCTAAACAAACCCCCTGAACCCCGAACATGTCTCTCTCTTCCCACAATCTCCATTTCACAGCCAACAGCCATACTTAGTAAGATCGTGAAGCCTGAGCTACTGCGCAATGGCGCGCATTAGCAGCGTTCAGCTGCCTGCAAACCCTGGGGTCGTAGTCTTCGGCATCACAGGTGCAGATGTTGAACCACAGTGGACTGTGAAGGAGGTGTTGCAAAATTTGTGCCGCACCAAAAGCGAAGACAAGCTGAGGGTGTTTTATCATACGTACAAAGAAGCAGCAGAAGACTACCATTTTCGAGTCTTTCCCGGCCAGCCTTTGCCGGGCATGCTCCTGTCGAAGCACGAGGCAGCAAAGCAGGGGGTCACGCAGCCCGTTTTTCTGAAGCAGAAAACTATGCCAACGACCATGGCCTTCGCTTGGATGACATGGGCCTTCTCCAATGGCAACCGCTCTGCGAATGACCGTGCGAAGGCATTTGGCTTGCTGTCGAGTTTATGGAACCACTGCCTAAATCAGGCAGGTTCCATTGAACTGGATGTGGCGAATGTTGTTACGGGCGTGCGCACGCCTCACAAATTTGGGCCTTTGCGGCCGTGGGTGCCAGGGTCGCACGTTTGGACCCGAATCCTTGCCGGGAGGCTCCGGCCAAAGTGGGACAGGTTGCGGCTCGCCAGGACGCACATTACAAGTGATTTTATGCAGCCTAGCTTTTTAGATCTGGTTTTCTTCGGCCTGGACCCACTGTGCGGAGAAGAGGGCAAGCTGGTACGACCAGTAGCACTGTTGCTAGTGGCATCGTTTGCCGCGTGGTTGAACGATACGGCAAACCTTGTGCCATTGTCCGTTGAGGATGTTTGTGTTCAGGACGCCAAAGCCAAGACCCGCTTGGTTGACAAACAGGCCCGTTTGGCCATGTTGATGCAAGCGGCTTTCTTCTACATCAATGAGAATGCCACTTGGATGCAATTCACCCAGTGTGAACGGATGCCCTTTAGGCCACAGTTGTCTTGTCGATGTTTGCTGAGGATGACAACGGTTTGACCCTGCGGAAATGCTTGGACAAGTTTGGCATGGTCAACACTAAGCCGAACACCCTTGCATGGACTGCAATCGCAGCTAGGCTCCAACAGCTAACATTCAAGCAGTTTAAGTTTGCAACCGCCCCCTCGAGCGAGGTCGCCTATTGGGCCCGGGCGAGAGCGGAGCTGCGAGAATGCAACGTGCTGCACGCCGGATGCTCAGCACTGTCGTTCCGAACTCGTTCAGCTTGGGTATAAAGGGTTCAGTTCCCTGCAGCTGAGATGTTCATCGATGGCAGCAGCATCTCGAAGCGGCCCACTGAGTTGGGTTTTTTGTGGTCTCCCAATATCAGCCTCGGCTGCTATTGCCCACCGCTCGCCGTGTCCCCAGCTTGCGCTTGATCTTGTCAGAAAGTTGGCAGTTGATTCTTACTTTGCTGTCGCTATCCCGCAGGCGAGCAGCAGGCTTTGATGCTATGTAAAGTTCAGCCAAACCAGCTTAACGTGCAAACCCGCAAGCCCCTGCAGCTCCGGCACTAGAGTCTGTATGTGGACGTAGCAGCGTCTGTTAGAAGATGGCAGCCATGGGATCGTTAGACGATTTGACACTGTGCGGCTCTTCGGAAACAGACGGAGACGACCCACTGACACAGACCTCCGCATCTTCAAACCCCTTTCTCGCCTCCTGGTTTCAGACATGATTGCATCAATCCGGCACCATGACATCTTGAAGTCTGCGCAACACATATAATCAGCCAAGGCATTGCCCAGAGATTCGTCCGCATTGGTGCGGGCCGGGCGAGCTTTGAGTGTGGCTTGGCATTTAGTATGCGATTGGACCCCAGCGGACAGCCTTCAGGACACCGCTGCCGGCTAATTAAAGTTGGTTCGTTGCTTGAACCCTACATAGACTAGAGTGACTAGCCTCGCCTATTCAATTCTGAAACCCATAGAACCGGGATGCCCCCCAACAGCTTATATGAGATAGTGAGTGGGATGTGGGGTGTCAATGCTTCAACAATTAGATATGTGAAGAGGTGAAGGCCTTAAGGCGTTTAGAGAGGTTTATAGGCCCTGGGATTTATTTTAGATTATTTGGGAAAGGGGGGTTTAATTGAAGGTTTTATGATTAGGGCCGATTAGGGTTCAGGGCATTAAATTATTAGTAGGGTTTAACTTAAGCCGCTCGTAGACGTAGGAGAGCATGGTGGCCACGTGCCGCCGGACCTCCACCAGCTGCACGGGGGCGTTCACCTCGGAGATGGCTTTGGGAGCTTTAGAGAACATCATCAATACTTCCGGCCGGGTCGGGTTCACTGTGGATTACCGGCCAATATCCTGTCATGCCGCTTAGCTGCAAAAGGTTTCTAGCTCTAGCCGAGTCATTGGAACCTGAGTTCGAGCCTGCGCTTCTTATAGTTTGGGGTTGCTAGGAATGGGCTCCCCAATGCCAACAACTCATTGTGGACCACTTTGACTGGCTACGGAAGACAACGCGGAAAGGCACGTGCCATCCACCTTGCGTCTTTGATGATCTAGAAGCCTGCATACCCCCAGGTTCCTACTCGTGTACGCATACATTCATGGAAAAGTTTCGCTTGGTTGATGATGCTTATTTCTGTTGCACACAGTTCTGCCACACTCACCAGCAACAGTGCCCACTTTTTGGGCCAAGTACAGAAGCCCAGCTTGAAGTAGCAGGGCTGCCTTGTTGGGATATGAGCAGAGCTGGTCGCCGGATGAAGGAGGAGGGCCCTACGGCTGGGGTCTTCTTGTGTCATGCCAAGCGACACACTGAAAAGCGGACACCGCTCATCATCATCGAAAACACCAAGGCGCTTCATGATAAAACACCAAGGGTTAGTTAGCTCTCGCCCGATTACCCGACGATAGGCTGTACTTAGTCCCGGCTTCCCGTGGTCAGGGCCTTCGTATGCAGATGATCCGACATCTTTACGGTGAACACTACCACGTGCACACCCTTCAGACAGACTCCGCTGATGGTGGTCATTCTGGGGCCCGCAGGGAACGCATCTATGTCATCCTAGCCCACAAGGAGCGTACAGCGCTTCTGCAAGATCCGGTTCAGCTTTATGAGTCGATCACGAGCATCATCAAGGAGAATATCACCACGACACCCAAGGACTACCTGGTTTCCGGCCGTGTCGACGTCTTGCGTGCAGCCCAGCGGCTGGCATTGAAGCGCAAGACAAGGTTTCGAGCGGCGCCCTGCCAGGAGTTAGGAGTGATCCAGTTTGAATCTAATAAGTTTGATGAGTTGCTGCAGATGTAACAATTCACTAGGTTTTTGGACCTGATCTATATAAACTAAACTGAATTTTAAATTCAATTCCTACAAAATGATCTAAACCCGAAGCTCTCTAAACCCAAAGCGCTCAAACGGTAACAGGCCTTGAACCCTAACCCCATAGCAACCACCGAGGTCAGAGACACCACACGATTCCCAGACCTTGAATACCTGCTGAACCAGCGTGAGAAGAGCGTCGTTTCACGCCTGAGCAAAACCTACCTGAAGCAATACAAGCAACAGGCCAGCCACAGCCCCAATCTTATTTTGCACGTGGGAGACAGCGCGGCCAGAAAAAACTGGTCGGCCGCGTCCAACAAGATTCCGACGCTCCGAATGGGGGGGGGCCTGTTGTGGAGTCCCTTTCTGAAGCGCTTCCTTACCCCTCGCGAGAAACTCGCCACGTTGGGCTTTCCAGTTTCTCCTGCTGTTGCGGATGCCATGGCTGTTCATCCGGTTCCTGCTCTTGATGTGGGCCGTGCAGCCAGCGTTGCCGGCAACGCCATGAGCTGGAACATCATAGCAATTGTGCAGCTCGTAGCTTTGTGCAGTTTCCGTCAGATGGCATAGTTTTTTTTACTTTGGAGTTACGTGCATTTCGAGCCTAAGCTGGAGGCGTCTCACTGCATGACAATGACGATGTGTGTTCTGTGTGGTCGGAAATAGGGTCTACTGGCTGCAGTGGTAAGTGCCATGGTGAGACAAGTCATGCTGTTGCGCCGTCATGCGCCGGCTCGCAGCGGACCCCACAGTTTCTGTGAACAACTCTTGAGTGATTTCTGTGTGCCTCGGTTTGTTGTGCGCTGCCATGCGTCGCACCAATAGAGGTGACAACCGCCGGGGATCAGGCAGCGAAGCCGGCGGACGCCGGGCAAGCACCGACGCCGGATCCATGGCCTCATCATCCGTGATGGCCCCGTCCACCCGCATGCGCAACAAGTCGAAGCTGCAGCGCCTAGGCTGCACCGCTCGTTCGTGTGGTCCCCATGTGCTGCCCGTATCAATTGCCTTCATTTGTTTGCTGAGGTGGCCCGATGGTACCGTGCTACGTGATGCCCCGGTGCTGGATGAGGAACCAGCGCCTACCAGAGACAGAGACAGAGATCTGCCGAGGAAGGCTGCCCCGAAAGTCAAGGCCAAGGCCAAAGGGAAGACCAAACCCCTTCCCAAGAAGAGATCCAAGAAGGACAAGGAAGCGGAGGAGGAGGAAGAGACCGAAGCAGCAGAGGAAGAACCCGATGACTCCGATGAGGACGACATGCGCTCTTCGAAGCGCGGCCCCGGGCCGATCAGTATCGGTGGTCGCCGCGTCGTCACGTCCTTCTATAATCAGAGGGATCTCAACAGAATGCCAGCATCTTGGCCGCACTGGTGCATTCGCTCGGTGATGAACAATTCAATGCAGCGGTAGCAGCAGTGACCCCATCCGAGAACTGTCATTTCATCGACTGGCTGAACCACGTCGACGAGACCATGTTGAACTCTGCTGTCCTGAAGAAAATGAACAGGGAGGATCTATTCTTGATGCTCAGTTTTTGTTTTGGGTTTTCCCCAAGCGAGGAGCCATGCGAGCCACCCGACTGCAGTTTTGACGGTGCCGTGGTTTGTTCCGTGTTGTGACTGTTGTGCCACGTTTGTGCTGTGCCGAACGAGTTAAGGCGGAGGAAGACCGACATGTTGAAGGCATGCAAGGCGGAGTACTTGAGGCGGGGTTCGCCTTTGGCAGCGACAGGGTGGCGCCCAGCGGACGTCACCCGCTACATGAGAGCAAGGTTGGCTACTCTTAATCCGGGATCGGATTGTGGGCCATTCGCGCACGAGTTGCCTAGGAGGCCGGCGGCAGATGTGCCAGCCCCGATGCCGGATTGGGTTGAGGGCTTCTTCAAAGACGACGAGAAAGCCTTTCCGGGGGGCAAGAACAAGGGACGGAAGCGCTCTGACGATGAGGAGCCACCTTCTGTTTCCTGTTGTGTGTCGTTTTCTCGTTCAGCTGCAGCTAGGCTATCTTACAATGTCTTATTGGGAATCTGAGAATGAGAAAGAACAGCCCTGCAATCATTAATTACAATCAATGTTAGGGTTTGTAGTATAAAGGGGTTTATGTGGGGTTTGGGGTTCGGGCTTAAGGGGTTATAAAATTAGGGCTTAAAGCTTTTTTAGTGGGACCCTACTATCCGATAAACCTAAACTCAACAAAACGCATCCAGGAGAGTGGTTCCGAGCACCAGATTGTGCCCGGCTCCCCGCCGAAAGATGACGATGATGACGAGGGGGGCAGCGACGGAGATGACAATGATGATGGTGCTGTGGAGCTCAAGCCCACCGGTTTCAAGCTGAGCAGGAAGGTGCAGAAGGGCGAAACTTTGTGGTTTCTCCAAAGTTCTGAGGGTGTGAAGGTTGAGCTCGGAACGCCCGACACCGGCACCCATGAATGGCATCTGTACACGAAGCACGGCAAAGATTGGCTCTGGACCGGGAACCACGATGAGCAGGAACCCGAAGAGTGCGTGAATGTGATGAACGAACTCATGACAACGGAGGATCTCGCCCAAGTGGGGGCAGCACGAGCAGAGCCCCCAGCATGCAAAGGCCTAAGGCCAATCGGCTCCGGTCCAAGCAGCAGAGGCCGGGTTTTCGATCAGATTACAGGACTAATATTCCTGGTTGGGGTTGCACGTGGTCTCAATAAGGGCACTCGTTAGGGTTTTGTGCGCTAAGGGTTTTGCTTCATGATCCCCAAACCACTATCACAGGTGCACGAGGAATATGTTAATTAAACCTATAGATATGTATACGTATACCAACGTGTTTTAGGGTAGTGGGGGCTACGGGATGCGATGCCCCTTAATGAATTGATCGAACCCGTAAAGTTATAATTAAAAAAAGCTGAATTCCCCTAAGCCCAAGTGCCTTGGGTTCGCTGGAGTTGTCGTTGCGGCTGCAGCCGCCGCCTCACCAATTGTACTAGCAACGCCTACATCATCCACTAAATCAATCATTTTGATGTAGAGGATACTTACTACAAAGCCCCGGTAGCCTATCCCTACCAGTTTGGCACCCTAAAGTGGAAACTGTTAAACCTTGGACACCTGCAACCAGCGACATCCTGCGGCCTTTCCCAAAATCGCCGAGCATTAGTCGTTAGCGCCAATAAACCCTAGCCCTGGACCTTAAATTTAGATGGTTTCAAGCCACGAATAAACCCTCCAGCTGAAACGTTCATCACCTTAGAGCCTCCAAGCCCTCTACCCGAACGCTCGTGTGCAGGTGGGGGAGACGGAACCATTGTCGCACAGGATAACGATCCGGCCGCGTTGTCGAGGAAGCTCGAAAGCCATCTGAGGGAGAAGGGTGTGAGCCCGGACAAGTTGAAGCTGCTCGACGAGATCTTCAACAGCAGCGATCCACCAAGGCCACCGGTGAAGCCTTCGGCGAAGGTTCCCAAGCCCACACCGACGCCGACCTCCGGAACACCGAAGCAGAACCTGAAGCCAAGCACGAAGGGCCATCCGAGCAAGGGGAAGCCGGTGGTGCAGCCAGCGGGCGCAGATGCAGGCCGTGGAGGTGACGACGAAAAGAGGAAGAAGAGGGCCGCACAGGAGGAAGAGGAGCGAGCACGAAAGCTCCAGGCTGCAGAGAAGGAGCGTCTCCGGGAAGCTCGCCGAAAGGCAGCAGAGGATCACCGCAGAAAGGAGGAGGAGCTCGAGGAGCAAGAGGCAGTGAGGAAAGCGACAGCGCTTGCGGAAAAGTTGGAAGCGGACATGATGAAAGCCAAGCAAGCCAGGGAAAAGGAGCAAGAGGAGAAGGTGAAAGCCCTGGCTCGCGAGATCTACAACAAGCGGATGAAGGACAAGGGCTTGACACCGGAAGGCGATGTTATCACAGACGAGGAGGAGAAGGACGAGAATGATCGGGTGGAAAAGGGCACACGCGCAAGATCGCCCCCTTCGACAGGCAATGCCGGTGGGGCGGGCAGCTCGCGTGATGTGCCGGCAAGCACCTCTCCGAGAAGTGGTGTGGAGGACGGAGAGCCGGCCGCAAAGAAGATCAAGATTGCCGAGGATGGAGAGCCCCCCGCGAAGAGGACCAAAAATGCCCCGTCGACCGGGGAGGAGTTGCGGCCGAGGAAGACCAAACTTCCGCCTCCGAAAGGTGTCCGGCCGATCAAAGATGAGGAGCACCCCGTGAAGAAGCCCAAGGAACAGCTTCTGAATGCCATGGCCGATCAGAACGCAACCTTGGACGCCGACGAGGACGAAGGCGAGAACGAGGATGAAGAGACGGCCACGGTGGAGCTCGAGCCGGAGGGTGGGATCGGGGCATTGGACGAGGAACAGGGCGAGGACAATGACAATGCCGAGGAGGAGTCAGCCATGCCCGTAGCACCATCAGAAGAAGCAGGTGACGACGCTGAGGCGGCCGAGACCGAGGAGGCTACGTGAGCACAGAGCGATTAGGCACTGGTATCCGGTATCGGTACGCTATGGATCCCAGTAAGCCCAAACCCCCCAAAGTATGCTATCTTCTCATAAGTTACAGCACAGAGGCCCCCAAAGCACCAAACCCGTGAAAATAACCCGAAAATAACCTGGAAATAACCTGGAAATAACCTGGAAATAAGGCCGGATCTCTTGTAAATTACAGCACAGAGCCCCCCAAAGCACCAAACCCGTGAAAATAACCCGAAAATAACCTGAAAATAACCTGGAAATAACCTGGAAATAAGCCGGAAATAAGGCCGGATCTCTTGTAAATTACAGCACAGAGCCCCCCAAAGCACCAAACCCGTGAAAATAACCCGAAAATAACCTGGAAATAACCTGGAAATAAGCCGGAAATAACCTGGAAATAAGGCCGGATCTCTTGTAAATTACAGCACAGAGCCCCCCAAAGCACCAAACCCGTGAAAATAACACGAAAATAACCTGAAAATAACCTGGAAATAACCTGGAAATAAGCCGGAAATAAGGCCGGATCTCTTGTAAATTACAGCACAGAGCCCCCCAAAGCACCAAACCCGTGAAAATAACCCGAAAATAACCTGGAAATAACCTGGAAATAAGCCGGAAATAACCTGGAAATAAGGCCGGATCTCTTGTAAATTACAGCACAGAGCCCCCCAAAGCACCAAACCCGTGAAAATAACACGAAAATAACCTGAAAATAACCTGGAAATAACCTGGAAATAAGCCGGAAATAAGGCCGGATCTCTTGTAAATTACAGCACAGAGCCCCCCAAAGCACCAAACCCGTGAAAATAACCCGAAAATAACCTGGAAATAAGGCCTCAGCTCGTGTAAATTGCAGCACAGAGCCCCCCCCCAAAGCACCAAAACCGTGAAAATAACCCGAAAATAACCTGGAAATAAGGCCTCATCTCTTGTAAATTACAGCACAGGGGCCCCCCAAAGCCCAAAATACGAAGCCCGATGTCCCTTGAATTGGTTACACACAAGCCGAAACACAAACCGAAGCCAGGGATTTGTTCAAGCTTTAGTACATCCAGTTCTCCGCCCGTCCCAAACCACGAAATCTAGAATAACCCGGGGCGTGGTAATGTTGGCAAGAAGCTAGATCTAAAGATGTGCCGGGGATTTCCTGAAGCACCGAAAAGGCAGTTGTCGTCGTTAGGACCCGTGCAGTGACGTTACAGGAGCTGCCGAAGAAGTCACCCAAGAAGTTGTGGTTGAACCTGACAGCTGAGTGGTACGAAAAGATAAAGAATGGGGAAAAGTCGGTGGAGTTGCGCAAGGCCACGGAGCACTGGGCCAAACGCATACGAGGTGCTTCCCAAGCAATGGTTCTCAGAGGCCCCCGGGATTGGAATTTTGAACCTTATGTTTCAATTCCCAGCCTTACACAACTTCCAGTATTCAGAACCCTGACTGGGTGAGGCTACGACAAGACAACCGCATTGCCTAAAAAAATCAGCAAAGTGGAGCATCTCCCTCGTGATCGAGCTCTTGATTGGGGGGTTCCCCGTGAAAGCTTTGATTTCTTGTTTGGGAATGAGTCGCATATCTTCGTCATTCATTTGTGCGATTGAACCGAGCGTCCTTTACCGGTACTAACTTTGTACCCGTGCCTATCTCGCATACGATCGACGGCAGTGCCCGCTGCAAACACAGACACGCACGGGAGGTCTTGTATGTGATTGGTCAACAGCACCTGCCATCATATTGATGCCCCAAACATATAAAGTGTAATTAAGGCACACTTGCAACCGTTCCCCTGTCTGTGTTCCTAATACCTCAGCGTGTCTGTGTTGCCTTCCTGCAGACCTGTCGACCGCACAATGTGTGCAGAAAGTGTTCCCTTGACTGGCCAGCAAACGACGAGAGCAAAGCGTTTCAGGTTTCAGCGCCCCCATAATGATTCAATTGCCTCAGACCTCAGAAGCCATGGCACCGATACGAACCCAACATCGTAAACACCTTACTAATACTAACCCCCCCCAAAAAAAAAAACCTAAACCCCTAAACCCCTAAACCCCTAAACCCCTAAATCCTTAAATCCCTAAAGTTTTAAAGCCGAACATATTCTATTGCTCCCCGGCTTGCTGGCGCTCTGTGATTTCTAAGCATATGCTGGCCGACAGCTGAGGGGTGGGATTAACAATGGTAACAAACCTTAGCCTTAGCAGGAAGTGTAAAGGGAAAAACACCACCAGCTGTTGCTTCGGCATGTTTGCGCACCGAAGCTGCGAGCACGGAGAAAACAAGCTATCGATTCTCAGTCATGCGGTTCCGTGGCTTCCACTCCACGCATACCGTGTTATGTTGGAGCAATGCTTTGAGACTGTCTGGCATGCAATTTGAAGGGGCTCGTTTCAGGCCGAGTCTTAGCTGTGGCTAGAATCCTTTCTTAATTCTGAGACTATGGCAATGAAGGCTTCGCCTAAAGCATCTGCGCCTGTGAAGAAGCCGCGCCCGACGAAGCGCACGGCACCTGCCAAACTCAACGATGGAAAGCAAGTGCAGACGCCCAGCCCCAAGCATCCCAAGAAGGATCCGATCGACATCTCCCCGCCCCCGGTTCAGCGGAAGAGACGCAGCAGCAAAATCCTTTCACCACAGGCCCGGCCATTTCTTTCATTTGCCTCTGATAATCTGAGAAAACCATCTTAGATCCAGCCCTTGGCAGGCCTTGACGATATCGCCGTTGGCACGCCGATTGGATGGTGCTCCTGATCATAGCTCAAAGTCTTGAGTGGTTTGGCCGCTGGCAACAGCCCAGGCAGGCACATGTTTCCATTTTGGATGGCCATGAAGCACAACTGGGGGTCTGTGCACTTTAGATGCAGTAAAATGCCCGATTGCACATGCCTGCTACTGCTGTCGTGGCTGAGACGTTGACTGCTAAATCATGCCGCGTAGGTTTCATACATACACAGCAGCGTAATTGTGCGTGTGCCGAGGTCCTGAAGAAGGTCATCGCCGTACCGGCTAGAGGAAGCCACGCTCAAACCCCAGACCCTTTTAAAATAAAGTGTCATTGCTTATTTCGTCGCGAAGCCTTGAACCGAAACTATTTAAGCCTAGCTCCCATAACGCCCCAGCTGCTTATCCCAGGCCGGCTGTCACAAAGAAGGAGTCCAACTTATTCTTCGCCCGGGCCTCAACCCTAATAAAAGACCCCTAACCCAAAACCCCAGTACTGCACCCAACCGAAGGTCAGGAGTTCGAGCAGTATTCACAGTGTTCGGCTGTTGCGTTCTAGATCAAGATTATCGTTTCCAGGTATGATTTCGGAAGTCGTTATCATTCCCGGGGCATAGAGGTTAAAGGTTTGGGCTCGGGGCTGTAGGGCTCACCGACGGGCTTTGACTCTGTGTGTGGTATCCGGACTCTACAACAGTCAGAAGCTGGGGCCTTAGGGGGCCATGTCGTTGGTAAAAGTTTAGGGTTTTAGGGTGTATGGTATGCGCTTCGAGCTCCTTATGTCTAGGTCCCTGTTGTCGGCAGGTTTCAGGGCTTAGGGGCTTAGGGTATCAGGCGGTTAGGGTTTGGAGGTTGGTTGGGGTTTCAGATTTCAGTCTCAGGATCTACACGAGTTTCGGGATATCGTGGCTCTTTGGGGCTCTGGGAAATGGCCAACGATACCGGAAATTATGTATTCTAGATTCTGAGCATCCACACGACGGCTCGTGAGCGTGGAACCCCAAGCCCTCATTCCCGACTTTCGACCACTTCTAAACCTCCCAAACCCAATACTCTGACCTGACGGAAAACCCGAAACAGCCAAATGCCAACGATTGCGTAATTACTGGGGTAACACATGGAACCCGACGACCTAGGACCTAGATCCCACAGCAACCGAGAACCCCCAAACCCCTACCATCTTTTATTCCTTTGTTGAGGACTCACTCCCCTTCGCCCAGGCAATCCTGAAAACCGTGAATCACATGATCGACACGATGACTGGAAAGAACCTCGCCGATTTTCGGTTGGCCGACAACTACCTCAAGGACCTTGAAACTAAGGACCTTAAAACAGTGGCGGTCACGAGCGTTCCGGAGATGAAACTGTTGAAACTGATCGGTGATGATGAGGGGGTGCAACACAAAGCATTCAACTTTGCTTTTGAACGCCTAGCCATCCGGGGGATGGCCGAGAGCGAGTGCTCTCACCCCGCATGGAACTCATTCAAGAAAAGTTTAACAGCAGCGGGCCTCACCATGGACATCATGAAATTGTCGATATGTTGCACCTCGCTCACAGCTTCAAACTTTCAGTTCAATGCTAGCATAATGTTTTGTTTTAGGTGTGGGGTGGAAGGGTCTTGCGTCTGGGTTTCAGTGCAGCTCAGGTAACTTTGATCATGGTGCCTACAAGAGCGGAGACAAGCTTGAGATGAAGCAGGACGCATTTGCTCTGTTCCTCGCGGAACAGGAGGATGAATATTTCCAAGGCTTCCAAGAAAGGGTGGCGGCAGACCGCAACGAGCCATACGAGCCCGACCTGCTCCCAAGGGACACCCTGCAGGACTGGCTGCAAACCAAAGCCCTGCAGAACAGAGGCTTGTACGTTGCTGGGAACCCACATTCAGCGTGTAAGTTTGGTCGTTTCTATTCTTCCTGATCTGTGGCTAGGTACACTTATTGCGTGTTTGTGGGGTGTATGTGTGTATGCACGTGTGTGTGTGTGTGTGTATGCGTGTTTGTGTGTGTATGTATGTATGTATTCAAAGTGTATACGTATAACCGTATAAATATGTGTGTATTATACATACATATATATATATATGTGTGTGTGTGTAAGTGTGTGTGTGTGTGTGTAAGTGTGTGTGTGTGTGTGTGTGCATGTAGTCTGCTTGTTCGTTTGGGCCGAGCGAGGTGAAACAAAAAAGTTGGTTCGGCATGAATGTTTGCTTCAGAGATCTCATCTACGACTGGACTGTTCAAGAAGAAGCCCTCAACGCCCTCAAGGCGTACTTCGCTCCCCGTCGCAGCATTTCAAAACCCAATAACTTTGGAACACGGGGAATAGCAGGATCCGGGGCCAACCCTCTCGGAATTCGTGGGTTTGTTTTAATGTCGGCGTTCCTCCCTTATTTTAAGGGTTTAGGGTTTAAGGGTTAGGGTTTAGTTTTTTGTTAAGGGTTTGAGGTATAGGCTTTAAAAGTTTAGTTAGTTTAGTGTTCAATTCTGAATAACTCGTGGCTGGTTTTGTATGGTTTCGCTTTGTAAGGAGCGCTATGGTCCCGACGATGGACATGATGCTGGTGATGCTGAAGAGGCGGAAGAGAGGGCACCCACCAGCAAGAGCGAACTCTACGAGATCTTTGGGAAAAAAGGGCCGATTCACATGGTGGCCGGGTTCATGGCTGACCGGTCGCTTCAGGAGACAGCCCGGCTGGTGGTGGAGATAGCCCAGCCCCTGGAACAAGCGTATCATGACACGAACACCTTGCTTCAAGAAGGCTGGGAGGAGCAAATGCGTTTTGCTTCGGAAAGGGCCTTGGGCGAGTATGTGCGGACAGTGGTCATGATTCTCTGGACCCTGCAGAAGCCCAAGCTGCATGACAGATTGCAGATGACGAAGGCGAGCAGGGCGGCAGTGCCGGACGAAGTGCCCGCTTGGGCACAGCATGAGCAGCATTTGCTGCTGACATGCGTGACGTTTGCAGTTGCTTTGGCATCCAATGTGCTTTGGAGCAACCTTCACCACTGGATGAGCTTTCCGCACATCCTGGCGGGGCTGTTGGTGGCCGACAAGAAGATCCGTGCTGAGGTTCTTCGGCATGCACGCCGCATCGCCGAAACTGTTGTGGCAGCAGAAAAGCACGCTGAATCTGTCGGAGGAGCCGAATGGAAGGAGATCTTTGTCGACCTGTGGAATAGACAGCCGCTGGCTCGAGAAGTCATGGGGCTTGTTTTGCAGGGCGAGACCAGGTCGCTGTTGCAGCTGGCACGGCGACTATATCAAGGTACCCCTTCAACGAAGGATGTTCTGGAGAATTGCTTCGCTTTCCTCCACAGAAAGGCAACGGTCCACTCCACCAACTTTAAAATGTCTGATGCTTGCAAGTACTTGTATGCCATTGGAAGCCCGTACTCCGCGACCGGGGGCGTGCCACAGATCAAGCCGGACAAGAAGGATTTTGCTACAATCCTTTCCCCGACTGGTCTGCCAGACAGGGAGCTCGCGAACAAGACCATGTTTGCCACCCGAGCTACGCTTCCGAAGCCTGAGGTTTTGCCACGTCCCGGGACAATCTTTCATGAGAAATGGAAGAACTCTGGACCGTTGGCACAGCAGCGAGCTGCCGCCGCAGTTTCCTACCTGTGCGAAGACAGAGCGAAGTCCTGGGCCAACATCGATCTCTGTTTTCTAGGCCTGCTCAATCCCATTCGGGGTGTAAGTTTTTGTTAAGTTTTGATTTTGGGGTGGAGCATTGTAAAATAGGTTAGGTGTAAGTTTTTGTTAAGTTTTGATTTTGGGGTGAAGCATTGTAAAATGGGTTACAGAATGTTTCGGAAGCAGGATCGCTGTTCGTCAGCGGCTGCGTGTTCGTTCACACAGAAGCGAACGAATACGTGTTGAGCTTGGGTTTTCGCAAGTGGGCCGCTGTGGGCTGGCCACTCAAGGTAGCATCCCTCGATGGGCAGGTGGGGCTGTTTTTTTCAGGAAAGCTCAAACCCCAAACCCAGTTGCTTAGCTCCAGCCCAAAGTCCTTCGTTAAGACGTCCTGGTCGCGCGTTTGGGGTTTGCCGTGGTTGACAAGTCTTCAAGTCTGGGGTCTGTTTTTCGTGTTTGTTTGGCCAGCGCTCGTTGCCAGGACTTTTTGGTGCTCGCGCCCGTGCCACAACCAGGAGGAATTCCATCGAACGAGGCGATCTTATTGCCCCACGGATCCAAAGGATGCAATAATTAGGTATCTGGGTATAGGAGAGTAGCTACGTAGGTCACTATTTTGGAGCGTGCAAGATAATTAAGACCTTTAGGGTTGTGTTTGATCTATATTAAAGTTGTATCCGGCAAGCCCTGACAGGTGAAGTTCATGCATTGTTTCGAGCTTCGTGGGCCCTGGCGAATGGTTCCCACCCAACCGCTGCTTCGCGCATTCACCCCCCTTGAGTTGAACACTCCGTTTGCATGGAAAGTTTGTGGGCCACCAGAACCTCTGCTGGAAGCCGCGCTGAAGAACGGAGTAAGCATTGTGGTTCCACACCTGAAACAGATCTGTGCCATGCTCGGCGTGGAAATTCCACGCACCGGCGGCGGCAAGGGCGGCCGAGTGCTGAAGGTGGATATTGCCAGCGCATTGATCTCTGCCCTTTTCGCAGATGCGAGTGACGACGAGAGATCAAGAATGATTTCTGCGATTTGCGGCAACAGCCAGCAGAAGGCCCCCAAAGAGTCGGAGCGCGAAGTTCTCGATGTTGTTGCGCAGTTGGCAGAAGAGGACCCATAGACTTTTCTCGGGTTTGGGATTGCACACGTTTTCGTTTTAACCTGTTTAGTTTTGGCGCAAACAATACAGTAAAACATTTGGTTTGAAATCCTTACCCCTAAACCATTGCGTAGGACCGCGAGTGCCACGAGTTCAAGAAGGTCGCGAAGCTGGCCCGGGAAAAGGTGCAAGAGTTGGATCGCAAGCGGACCGAGAAGGAACTGCGAGCAAAGATTCAGGAAGAGCGGGGGGCGCCAAAGGCGGTACGTCCCGATGCTCCCGCTCAAAATGCAGCCGAGGCCGCAAGGGCGGCGACAGAGGAATCAAGGCAGCGACCGGCAACTCCGAGGCAGGATGCGGCTGCCGCCGGGCCTCCCGATCCCGCATCAGTACACCGCAGGAGAAGCAGCACACCGGCTGAATTGCGAGAGCTCCTCTTCGAGGATATGAGGGCGAAGGTGACGCTGATGCGTGACGCCGGCTCTTATGGCTATCGAGCCTACTACCCGAGCCCGGGCCTGTGTCGTCGGGTATAAATAGAAGTCATCGCGGTGTTTAGGCAAGACCTCGTCTTAGTTTCCCATGATAACGCCCAGGTGACCAGCCGTTGGTGCAAAAAAATTTTCAACGTCAGTGGAACACGCGGCGCTGCGGGTCAGAAGCAGACGCCCTGGATGCCGTTCTTACCTTCGTGTTCACACGTTGGAATTCTGAGAACGCTGGCAACAAGCATGAGAAGCCACTCGCTTCCAATAGCATTAGGATGGAGTGAATAATTCGTGCGGCATGGTTCAAAGTCTAGGGTTAAAGCCTAGTTTGTCAGGGTGAATGTTATACCTACTTTAACTTTAGCTGACTCAGTGGCTCAGGCCGGCACGCGCCACAATCGAGGAGTTCGTGGCCAGCACCGCAGCACGCTGAGAAGTCGCCGACGTCCAGCGAAAAGAGAATCGGGCAGGGGGTTTATTAAAACCTCTCCAAACCCCTTGCCTAACCCCGAACGTCCTTCTACCTGAAGACCGGAAGCTTTGGTTAGGGTGGGAATTTTCGAAGCCTTACACACCCATTCCCTTACCCCGTTAGCCCTAAGGACAACAGGGGTTCTGGGTTTATAATCAAGGTTATGAGTTATGGTTGGGGGTGGCAATATTCCATCCCTCTACATACCCATTCCCTAACCCCGAACACAGGATGCAGGTGCTTTCCCCATGCACCACTAGGCTCACTATTTCCGGGTTATTTCCAGGTTATTTTTTTGGGTATCCTCGACGGCACCTATGCACTATTTCAGGCTTATTTCCGGGTTATTTTCCGGGATACCTCGGAAAAAATTATCCTTATTAGGGCTTAATAGGGCTTGTTTGTCTGGGGGGGGGGGTTTGAGGGGGGGGGGTTTGGCACCTGTGACCTAAACCCCAAGACGTAAACCCCTAACCCTAGCCCTAAACCCCCTAAACCCCTAAACCTCTAAACCCCAAGCCCTAAACCCTAAGCTCGGGTTTCAAACCCTCAACCCCCTAAACCCTAAACCTCTACACCCCAAGCCCCAAACCCTAAGCTCGGGGGGGGCTCCATTCAGTTCGAAGCCTGCTCCACCGACCGGCGACTGATCTTTCCGGCCTGCTGTTGAAGGCTTTGGATTTTGAGTTTTCGGGTTTACAGGTTGAGGCTTTAAGGTTTAGGGGTTTAGGGGTTTAGGGTTTATAGGTTGAGGCTTTGGGGTTTAGGGGTTTAGGGGTTTAGGGGTTTAGGGTTTAGTGGTTTAGGGTTTAGGGGTTTAGGGTTTAGGGGTTTAGGGTTTAGTGGTTTAGGGTTTGGGGGTTTAGGGTTTGCAGTAGGGTTTAAGGTTCGGGGTTTAGGCTCAAAGCTTAAACAGAGGAGGGCTCCTGAGAACTCAAGACTTGTGTGAAGGTTTCACACGGTGTCAAATAAGGGTTCCTGGCCTTTACCCCTATAAACACCAAGCACTAAACCCAACAAAAGGGTAGATCCTGGGGCCTCCAACCCAAACCCTGAAGCCCTACTTGGAGGAGCATGGGACTTAGTAAGTAGGGTTATAAGTACCTTAATTAAAGTTATATGTAATTATAACTGTCGTTACCTTAATTATAATCCCAATTACTAAGTCCCATGATCCTCCTAAACCCTTATAGTACCCCTCTAGATTCCCTTTAAGGAACCCCTGAAGGACCCCAATGACTAAGTCCCATGATCCTTTAAGTAACCCCAAAATCCGAACTAACCCCAAACTCCAAGCCTCGCCCGGAGCCCTCGCGACCGCTAAAGCAACCCACATCCCAAAGCCCCCCCACCCGTACTGCACGGTTTAGGGTTTAGGGCTCAGGGTTTAGGGTTTAGGGTTTAGGGTTTAGGGTTCAGGGTTTAGGGTTTAGGGTTCAGGGTTTAGGGTTCAGGGTTTAGGGTTTAGGGTTTAGGGCCTGAAACACCCGACCATGCTCCTGTAGTATATTCTACCACAAATTATTGTGGAATGTAGCCCCTGAGGACATTTGTTGCCAGTTATTCAGGCATCTATAGTAATCTTTATTTAAAGCCACAAGCACGAAACCACCCTAGCTAAACCTTCAAAACCCTAACCTACAGGGTAGAAGCACCCAGTCTGGGTTCGCTGCTGCTCCAATACGCTGACAGTGAGCACAATGTGAGCCCCAGACCCTAAACCCAAACCCTTCTAGACCTTCTATGGTTTCAGTCACCTTAACCTACCAGAACCTACTTTTTTGTAAATCCCATATTAAGGATTCTAATAAGAACCTACAAGAAAGTAGGGTTCAGTAGGTCTGGGCAGGCATTAGAGGGCTTCCCGGACCCCCGGAAGGATCTAGAAAGTAGATCCCCTAACTTGGGGCCCTATAGTACTCAGGGTACTTTATAGGAACCCCCATTAGGGTATCTACTTTGCGGATCCTTCCGGGGGTCTGGGGCCCCCCAACCCTAAAATCCCCAAATCCTAAAATCCTAACGAGACTACCAGGCATTAGAGGGCTGTGGGCCAAGCCAAGCAAGGGTGTAACTCTAAACCCTAAACCCTAAAACCCTAAACCCTTAATTAATGGAACCCTTAAAGGAACCCTTAAGAGAACCCTTAAAGCAAGGGAACCTGGAGGCAGATACGACGACTCGCTCGCGCAAGGTCGGCTGCGAAGCCTGGTGGGTCCGCTGTAAAAAAAAGGAATCAGAATCCAAGGGTAAAAGGAGGGACCCTTGAAAAGGACCCCTAGGAATATACCCTCAATATAGCTATTATATACACCAAGATATAGCCCATCATAAAAAAAAGGAGCACCTTCTTCTGTTAACCATCCTTATAGTATAGTATCCGAACCATAAACCTGCTTAATCCCCAAAATGGAACCTACAGGTAGAGTCACCTCTTTAACCCTAAGGGTGCATGAACCCAAATAGTATATACTTAGGCCCCAAAGTACCTTTTAGGGACTACTTTCAGGCCAAAGTATCTACTATTTGGGTACATGGACCCTTAGGGAAAGGAACAAGAAGACACGACCAAAAGGATTCTCTTTTGGAGCTCTTTAGTCTTTACGTTTTATATGAAGTGTTGGGCTTTGATGTTTGGGGCTTTGGGTTTCGGGGCTGTCTTTCTGGGAAGACCAAACCACGAGAAGCAAAAAGGATCACGGACATTGACCAAGAAGCCCGTGGGCGTCAGACTCTGCGGTGATTTGCCTCGGGCATTGGCTCTTTGCTGTACGTTGAAGGAAGTCTGAAGAAGTTAAAACGGTAGGGTTTAGACTTTCGGATTTAGGGTTTTGGGTCTTAATTTGGGGTTTCAGTTTTGAGTGCTCAAGTTTTTGATTAAGTCTACATTCTGTCATGTTGGCATTGTTGCAACGATTCTGGTGCTGTCTGTCGTCATTGTCCATCATACCATGTAGAGACCACTACTAGAACTCTTAATCGCTACAACCTTATGTAAACTCTCCACACTAATATACACCTGCAACCGTTAAGCCTAAACCCTAACATGAACCCGCGGAACCTTAATGAGCCCTTACATGAACGGAAAACCTCAAACACTAATACTCAATACCTAAGCCCTACTACAAGGCCCCAACCGAAACGTTAAGCCCTAAGCCCTAAGATGAAGCGAAAACCTTAAGCTGCAACACTAAACCAAACCCTAATAAAAACCGTAAACATGAAGCACGAGCTTGAAACCTTACACCATGAACGTGAAATGCAAACAACCTAAACTCATCCGAAATCCGAAACACCCCCACAAGAGGGAACCCCAGCGACTATAAAAAACTCTCGGTGGAACAGGGACGGTCTTCAAAAACTATTAATTAATTAAGGAGTATATCTTAAACTACAGAGACTTTCTTAAACCCCTTAACTAAAGGAAAACAGATATATCTTAAATTATGGAGAGCTTCCGTCTTGTTATGATTAAAGTACATTCCTGAGTTGAACAGTTTATGTGTGGGAGACTCCAGCAGGGTGCAGGTATTCTAGGCAGCCGTCAGGGAAGCCTCTGCGCCCTACCCTAAGGCTCCATATACCTATGTAGTATACACTTAAAAGCCTCAACGAGGTTCCTAGAAAGGTACTTCTAAGTCCGAAGTATACTACATACGTTCATGGAGACTTGGGGCTAGGTTTTCAGTCGGGGCTCATGGGTTCAAGGTTCCGTCTGCAGCACAGGGTTCTGCAGGGGTTTGGGGTTTAGGGCTATAAGGCACACAAACAAGACGCTTGCATCAACGAAACACCTACACACGTGCCATTGCAGCTTTTGCTCATCAGAAGTGCAAGCGGCTACTGGTGACAATGGTCGACGGTGGGAAGCATTGAAAGACGAGCGTTACTTGGAGGATCGTGGGACTTAGTCACTAGAAATATGAAGAAGGTAACTGTAGCTATAAGTAACTATAGTTGTAGTTGCTTGTGGCCCCAAATAGGGCAACAGAGGGCAACTGTATTGACCTTATGGAGTCCTACAGCCCTGCAACTTAAACTTGATGGTACGGCGAAGACACCTATACCGTATAGCTCGACTCTGAACCCTAAACCCCTAACTAAACCCTAAACCCCTAAAACCTAATCTCTGAAACCTAACCGCCAAAGCTTAAACCCCAGGCCCCAAAGCCCGAACCAAGTCCTGCCAGATTCCTCCTATTAATTGAGGAATACCTCGAGTTCCTTTGAGGGATTTGGGTTTCAGTACATAAAGGCTGTTTTGGGTTTGGGGGTTTGGGGCTTAGGGTTTTGGTTTCGGGCTTAGGGTTTGAGGGTTTCGGGCTTACGGTTTTGGAATCCATAAAGCATACAATAGGGTTTAGGGGACTGTAAGGCGTCTATGAGGCATCTATAGGGCTTACGATTTAGGGGAGACCAATGTCCCGAAATTAACTCGGATGCCCAGTGACCTAGGAATAAAAAGGGCTCCCTTATTGGTACCTAGGACTACAAAAAGGGAATAAGGGTGTTACTGGGCATCCTAGTTAAGGAATCTATGCTGGGCTCCCGGTCGCTCACTGCCCCAGAACATGAC